TTGGGGTATTTTGAATACTAAATGCATCAAGAAGACTTAATTCACTAAAATTTATTCTAAGAGGATATTTATACTTTTATACTTTTTAAAGTATCTGTATTTTATCAGCTTACAGTTTAATGCCTAAGTTTCCCCTGAAAATAGCAAATAAAATTGTGTATTTATAGGAGGGGAAAAAAGAGTCTTTGAGGACCTATTTATAAAATCAATTGATTGTCCATAACAGTGGCCGCATGTGCACCAGATAATAGAGCAGCCAGTGGTGCCCTGGCCACCACCACTACCACCCCACCCCGGACTGTTTCTCCCCACTACCAGCGGCACCCCTCCCATCTCCACCACACCTCCTTCTCCACACTGCCATATACACACTGCCACACACACACACACACACACACACACACACACACACACACACACAAAGAGCTGCTGCTCTTGTCTTGTTCCCTTTTCCTCAAGCAATGGTGCCCTTTCCCCCAACTCCTTCCACCATTTCCCCCACACATGCACCACTGAGCTGCTGTGTCTGTTTCCCCAACTCCCTTGCTAGAACAGAAGAGCCCCTTCCTCAGCCCTCCCCATCTGCAAACCCCCATCGCCCCCCAAGAACAACAGAGCACTCCCTGGCATGTCAGAGCAGCTATGCACCCCCCCCACCTCAAGGGAGATCCACTAGCTCAACAATAGGAGAACCACTATCTATACCCTCCCTACTCCTGGTGACTGTGCAATATTGTCAGTGAGCTGGGGCCACCTTGTTCCCTAGGTGCAAAAAAGGCTCCAGGAAGTCCAGGCAGACTGAGAAAAAATGAGTTGTGTGGCTCTTGGGTAGGGGCCATTTTTTCCTATTACGTCCAACCAGTGTCACCATTCCTGTGCAGAGCCCTCCCTTCAGATGGCCAAATCTTGATTTATTTGGGTCTGATAAACTCTGCTGGCCTCACCCTAACAACTCTCTGAGACCCTACCCTACCCTACCCTACCACAAAGGTCTGCAAGCACCCATTGGACGGCAGTTGATCTTGATATACCTCAAGAAGCAAGAAAAATCTCAAACTATCTAATATTACACTTAAAGGACCTAGAAAAAGAAAAACAAAGGCCAAAGTGAGTAGAAGTAAAGAAATAAAGATCAGAGTGGAAATAAATGAAATAAAGTTTAAAAAACAATATAAAACATCAATGAAACCAAGAGCTGTTTCTTTGAAAAGATAAACAACATTGATGAACCTTTAACCAGATTCATTTAGAAGAAAAGAGAGAGGAGCCAAATAAATAAAATCTGAAATGAAAGAGGAGAAGTAACATCTGACACCACAGAAATACAAAGGATTATAAGAAAATATTATGAACAACTATATGCCATTGGACAAGAATTGGACATTCTGGAAGAAATGGATAAATTCCTAGAAATATACAATCCTCCAAAACTGAATCAAGAAGAAACAGATGATCTCTCTAATATGTGGAATCTAATGAACAAAATAAATTGATGAACAAAATGGAACCAGAAGCATGAATACATGGAACACATTGGCCCATGCCCAAGGGGAGGGGGATGGGGGGTGACTGTATAAAGAAGGTGAAGGAAATAGCTAAAGAACATATGCATACTCCACGGACACAGACAATAATTTGATAAAGGCCAAGGAAGAGGGAGGAGGAGGGTGGAGGTGAGCAAAAGTGGACTTCTGCAATAATGTCAACATTAAAAATTTTTAAAAAAATTAAAAAGTTTAGTAACAGAATAAAATAGATTATTACCAATGTTTTTTAAGAGACAGAAAATATGAACAGACCAAATAAAACTAATGAAATTGAAGCAGTCATAAAAAAAAAAAAAAAAAAATCTCAGCAACCAAAAGTCTTGGACCAGGTCGCTTCACAGGTGAATGTTACCAAATATTCAAAGAACTAATACCTATCTTTTTTAAACTATTCCAGAAAATTCAAGAGGAGGGAAGACTTCCAAGTTCATTTTATGAGGCCAGCATTATCCTAATTCCAAAACCAGATAAGGACACGACAGAGAAAGGGAATTATAGGCCACTATCCTTGATGAACATAGATGCAAAAACCCTCAACACAATATTAGCAAACCATATCCAACAATACATTAAAAAGGTCATATACCATGATCAAGTGAGAGTTATTCTTGGGATGCAAGGTTGATATCTACAAATCAATAAATGTGATACATCACATAAACAAAATGAAGGATAAAAATCATATGATCGTATCAATAGATGCAGAAAAAGCATTTGATAAAATCTAGCACCATTGATGACAAAAGCTTTCAGCAAAGTGGGAATAGAGGGAACATACCTCAACATAGTAAAGGCCATTTATGGTAAACCCACAGTCAACATCATACTCAGGAAAAACTAAATGCATTTTCCTTAAGATCAGGAACAAGACAAGGTTGTCCACTTTCACCACTCTTATTCAACATAGTACTGGAAGTCCTAGCCACAGCAGTGAGACAAGAAGAAATATAAGGTGTCCAAATTGGAAAAGAGGAAGTAAAGCTGTCAATATTTGCAGATGACAGGATATTATACATAGAAAACCCTAAAAATTCCACCAAAAACTACTAGAACTGATATATGAATTCAGTAAAGTAGCAGGTACAAAATTAATATTCAGAAATTGGTTTCATTTTTATACACCAATAATGGATTATGAGAAAAAGAAGGTAAGAAAATTATCCCATTTACAACTGCATCACAAAACAACAACAACAAAAACTAGTAATAAATTAACCAGGGAGATAAAAGACCTGTACTTGGAAAATTATAAGATACTGAAGAAAGGAATTGAAGAAGATACAAATAAATGAAAGCATATACCGTGTTCATAGATAGGAAGACTTAACATCATTAAAATATCAATGCTACCCAAAGCAATCTATAGATTCAAGGCCATTACTATCAAGTACCATTGGCGTGTTTCACAGAACTAGAACAAACAAACAAAAAATTTACATGGAGCCACAAAAGACCCAGCACAACCTCAACAATCTTGAGAAAGAGGAAGAAAGTTGGAGTTATCACCATACCTGATATCAAGCTATAGTACAAGGACAAAACAGCATGGTACTGGCATAAAAACAGACGAAAAGCTCAGTGGAACAGAATAGAGTGCCCAGAAATAGACTGGCACCATACGTTGTCATTGCAATATTATTGACTATATTTTCTATGCTGTACTTTGCATCTCCCATGACTATTTTGTAGCTACTAATTTGTACTTCCTAATCCCTTCACCTCTTTCTCCCAGTTCCCCCAACCCCTGTCCGCTCTGGGAAACCATCAGTCCATTCCTTGTGTCTATGAGTCTATTTCAATTTTGTTTGTTTATTCTGTTCTTTTGATTCCACATATAAGTGAAATCATATAGTATTTGTCTCTCTGACTGAGTTATTTTACTGAACATAATAACCTCTATTTAAAAAGAGAAGCTATTAAGCCATATTATCAGATATGTCATCATCTTTTTTTCATTTTAACTTGTTCTATTGTTTCCCCAAAATATTTGCCAAAAATGTAGTAATAGGGTTAGAGGCTATGCAAGAATGAAAATATTTAGCTTACTTATATTGATCACTTTGATGCTTTCTTTTATTGATAGTAAACAGTTTGAACTCTTAAATAGTATTAAGTTTATATTTAATCACAAAGTTAAAGTAGCTTTGCATTTTAAAAGAATTTCTAAAATTTATTGTTTGTCACCGTTTTGAAAGGCAAAAGGACTGTTTTTGAAAACGTATGTATCAAATTTGAAAGTGAGGTAGGGAAAATCTAGACTTTGACCCATGCTTCCCAAACTTTATAGTGTCATTTTCTATTCTGTTTTCAGTACTTCTGGAATTCTTTAGGTGTAGTTAGAGGCTTCACAATTTCATGTTTCATATATGGTACTATTATGATGTACATAATAAGGGGGAACAGATCTTCAATTTAGATTATATTTCCATTTTTTAGGGACAAACTTTAAAATAAAAATTGGTAAGCATTTAATATTTGGTGAGAATAAATTGCTTAATATTTATGATAG